GTTTGAAGGAAACTATAGAAGAAACTTTACAGATGGAAATAGAGAATTGCAAAGAGGAAATAGGTGAGAGAGGAAAAAATACTCCTGAAAGAGGTTTGCCTGTTGGAAAATGGAAGGCACTTTAGGATTTTGGTTTTAGGGGTAACAAGTACAAGGTATCCACATTTTCTTCATAAGATGTACATGACATGCTTATAGAAAACACACAAGTGTGCATCTGAGCGTGCCCTTAAATTGACAAGGTGGCTGTGTATTGTAAGATTTTTCTTATAAATATGGCTTCTGGTGTAGAATAGACCTGATACTTAAGGGCAGTTAAAAGTAAAAGTAGTAAACAGGAACCGGGTGGTTCCTCTTTTTTTTCTTGCATTGAGGTATGTTTCTTAGTTTAGTTGTTTTACTTAAATATATATGGAAATCTGTGGTGCTGCCACTTTCCTGTGTTATGTGGGGGTTCACAGGGGTTCTTTTCAGTCTTTGTAATACATAAATGTGAATTTAAGGCATTAATTTGTTGGACTAGGTGACCCATTAGTGTGTTGCCAGGAAAACTACCAGGGTAATTTAGTAGGAGAGAGAGCAGTATCTCGTTTAGACTTCAGCAATACAGCTTTTACTTGCTTTAGCTCCTGAGGGTCATCACACTTGTGAAGGGGAATGAGAATCCTGCAGACAGGTGAATAGCAAACAAGAAAATGATAAAAAGAATAGAAGCTGCTTTGTATAGGTTTGTCTAAATGATTAGAACAGAAGTAACTTATAGGAATTAAACACAGGTGCAGTTGTTGATTTTGTGTGTTACTACAGGTTCGTATCTCAAAGATTTTGCAGGAGATGAAATGCGAACAAGAAAAAAAAACAAAACAGAATTCTGCTTTCTCTCCTGAGATTACCTTTGCTACCTTTGTTTTCTGCTTTTAGTTTTACAAAGAGGAAAAACTTTGTCTCCCTTCAAAGTAGCGCTCATAAGAATGAAATAAGTTATTTATCCTCACATATCTTTGAAAAGTGAAAAGGGAAAATCATAGGAAAATGGGAGATGAGATAAAGTAATAGTTCTGCACGTTGCTCAAGTACACTGAGACTGCGGACAGCTGAGTACTTGATTGGAAGTAGGACATGCTGCAAGGTGGGTGCAGGGGGTAACTTAGGCTGCCCAGGTTGGTGGAAGCTGAGTCCTGTTGTTGGAAGAGTATTTGATTTGCCTCAGATCTTCCAGATGTCAGCAAGGTAAATGTACCAATCGAAGCTGAAAGTACTGTGCACTGACAGGGCTAGCTCAAGTAGATTTGGGTGTACTTCATTTTTGTCACAACACTGTTACTTACACTTTCAGATCTGTCCAGGAGTCTGCATTAATAAAAAGCTTCAGCCAGGACATGTAGATAGGGGGGAAAAAGAGGTTGTAGTAAACCTGCATTATAAAACAGAGCCCTAAGGCTTCTGAAGAAGGACACATTTTATTAAAATCACAGTAGATTAACTTCATAATATTAATGATCTTTTAATAATAGTGGTTCATGTCCTGAGAGAGTGATGTTTAAATATTCAAATGACGGGAGATGTTTCTTCCTGAACATGTAACTGTTTCAGATGGGATACTGACAGGCTTAGTATAACAACATGGATAAAATGGAACAGGCTGAGGGGAGGAAGTTCAGCCCATGGCCGCTAGGTAGGAATAGTGATAATGGCAATTTTGACACCTGCCTTAAACTATTTACCTACTGAAGAGACAGCCAGGGTTATCTGTTGAAGAAGAAGAGCTTCATAATAGGCAAAATGGTAATGTGCTGAGTGAACAGTCAGATTCCATGTTGGGGCCAGCTAAGCTATGCACCTATATGTATATGGGTTTGTAGGCACGCTTGCTAGGATACAGTATTTTTAGATTTTTTTTGTTTTTTAAACCATTGATAGATAACAACTGGGTCTTAAAACCTGAAGAAGCCAATGCAGTGACGAAGCTTGTTTTGCTTTGTTTTACAGCTTCCATTTTTAGTCTGCGAGCTGAACTGGACAGAATAAAAGTGGAAAAGGAACAGGTGAGGAGTCACTGTGATAATTTGTAAGAGTTTTACAAACTTAAATATAGGAATTTTAACCTTCTGTATAATGGGCAGGAAAGAGAATCTTGAGGAGTCTGATAACCGGGTAACAAGTTCTCCTTGGCTCTGAACCGGTATGAGCATGTCTCCTTCATATCAGAAAAGATAAACTAGTTTTTCTTGTTGCCTTTGAGTTGTCACTAACAACATTTTTATGCATTTATGTAGAAGAACTCTGTACAAGGAGACTAACTAGTTGACCTAATGTAAGGAAGTACACAAGCAGTTATAAACCTAACTGGATAACTTTAAAGTTTTTAACTACTCTGTTCCTTTGTATCAGTTTGATAAAAGCCTTACTGCAAGTTGTGAGCTTACATACTTCTGTCTTGTAAAGACCAGCATGGTTTTAAAAGAAGAAAAAAGATATTTGAAGTTTTGAAGGGCAAATTATAATGCTGGGAATAGTATAACATTTTGACACCTTAGTTGACCCTCTTCCCTAAAATATTTATTCTTTCTATACTAATTTTTAAGCTAAACACTATTAGGCACCACCTTTCCTTCTAGTTTCAGGGTAGAAAAGTATGAGTGACATGGTTTGATGTTGGTGTTTCTGCACATTTATAAAGGCTAAAGGCATTTATACCAATTGCTTCATGGTAGTGTGTTCAATGCATGTCAGTCGTGAAAAATGAACTGATGAAAAACCGTTGTCCTCTTTGATTTTACAGTTGGAGAACACCTTGCAGGAGAAAACACAGCAGCTGGAGAGTCTTCAGGAAATGAACAAAACTTTGGAAGAGCATCTGAAGAAGGAAACTGCTGCAAAGGTAGAATCTGTGTTGTGTGTGTGTTAAGGTAACCAGCTTTTCAAAGGCAAGCTGTCTTGCGCATGTTAGTCTTGGAAGATCAGTGTGGTGGTCAAACAAGGTATTACTCACAGGGACAACACAAGGAGAAGTCTCTGAAAGTCAAAAGGTGTCCTGGCAATGCAGTTGTCTGCCTAGCAGTTATTGAAAGCCCCATTCCAAGTTACTTTACAATTGTATTTGGGAGAGCAGTAGGGAATAGTCAATAATCTAAACTACAGTGACTTAAAACTGTAAGGCTAGCGTCTCTTCTGACAGACTTCAATACAGAGTTTGTTAATATACAAACAGCTCTAATTTAATCAAGCCCTCGGTTTGAGCCCCTGAGACTTCAGATAATTGAGATTCTCCTGTTCATAGACAGGAAAACCAAGGCCCAGGGAGGATCCTTTCATGCAGTGCCTGTGGTATTACTCAGGTTTTCTGCTTCTCAGCTCATACTTTATTTGGGAGTCTGTACATGCTCCACTTCTCTGTGAATACACATCAGGAACTAATTTTTTTCTAGGCTAACCTTGAGCAGCTGATGTTTGAAGAGAAGAATAAAGCTCAACGGTTGCAGACTGAATTAGACGTCAGTGAGCAAGTACAGAGAGACTTTGTAAAGCTTTCGCAGACCCTTCAGGTAAGGGAGGTAAAATCAGTCCATTTCCAAGTATTATGTTTACTAATGCCTGTATATGTTCTGCTACCTCTGTAGCAGGGAGCCTGTGCAGCATAAGAGCTGGGGCTATAAACTCATTGATAGGTGTTTTTATGAATAATAAAGCATTACTAGTACAAACCAGGAATATTCCACCTGTTTTAGAACCAGATTAAGCTCTTACTCAGAACCCTATCGTGTCCTTCTCAATAAGTTCCTTCAATATATGACTTTGAGTCTTAGTGATACAGTGTGATTCAGAAGGGGAGATGCGAAGGCAGAGACTTGCACTGTTTGCTCTAAATCCATGGGATGGCACCTCTAGTTGGTGAGTGTGCTGCTTTTAAGCTATAGTCATAGTGTAGGATAGTCCTTTGATCCTAAAAAGCTGTCATGAGACAGCAGAAGGAAGGAATTTCAATATCCAGGGATTTTAGGTTACTACATTATGCAACCGAGTGCGATTCAAAGCTCTTTTTGGGGTACATCTAAAGTTTGGCCTTTAACTCCTTGCACATACAGCTCATTAAAGTGATGTAAAATTCAGACTTTGAAAACATGAAGCAAGTTTTCTAGTTTAACTAGTAAACAGCCTCAAGAATCTCAGCTTGTTTTTACATGGTCCATGTGGGTGAGCAGAGAAGGCTGTCAGTGCTTTCTTCTGCTGCTGTAGTGGTAGGTAGCACAGACATAAGACAGTTAAATTACCATTTTCACTGAAATCACTGCTTGTCATCTCCTTTTTCAAAGGCAGGTTTGGATCAGTAGCTGAAAAATACCCATAGTGGAAAAAATTGCCCAGCACTTGGAAGATGAGATGCTCTTTCCAAAAATGCATGTAGCTCAATAAACACCTAGTGACAAGAAATTGGTGTTACTGTCACTCGCTGCTGTCTTTTTTTCCCAGACCCCAGCTTTGTTTGTATGAGTAGTTGTTTGTCCTATCTGATCTCTTCTTCTTGTGGCTGGACAGTGACATTTCAGCCCCACAGCCATTTGCTTTGTCAAGAGGAGTGTGCAAACTGGGAAGGGCTATTTCCTTTCTTCCATGCCAGTGGCAGCTCTGGATGGGCATCATCTGTGCATGATGGAAAGGAGTAGCTGGGGTAGAACCACGCTCTATTGCTCTGTGGGTCCAGACGCACCATTTTGGACATATTGTATTTGTTGTTTTCTTAGGTGCAGTTGGAACGGATCCGGCAGGCAGATTCCTTGGAGAGAATCCGGGCGATCCTGAATGACACAAAACTGACAGACATTAATCAGCTTCCTGAAACATGACACCCTGAGGGGCAGGGCTCCGAGGCTGCATCTGGGGTTTTTAACTCATCTTTATAGCAACATTAATTATTATTTAACTCTAACTGAAAGAGCAGAAGACAACAGAGGGGAGCAATGACTGAGTTGTTTCTCGAGGGGAAAAGGTTTTGTACAGGGCAGGAAGAGAGCACCAGGGAGATTGCAGGCTAGAAGAGAACTCTCTAATGGGAACACTAATGGGTGCAGTGTTTGTGTTCCACTGTAAGTGGGATCAGTCCTCACATCCTGAAAAACTTTTCCCTTTTGGCCAACTTCTCTAACCTAATATAGATTTCTGGAACCTATTCCCCTCTCCCAAAATACTGTGATCAGAGTAGCTGCTGGAAACCATAATGTCCCTCAAAACTCCTTGAAGAGCAGAGTGGTTGACAATTTTCTGTTTGAATAGTCAGTAACAGTATTCCGCTAGCAGAGAGAATGAAGTGTAGTATGCTGTATGAATATTTTATATTAAAATATGAATTTATTAGCAGGACACTGGATATTGATTTTCTTTCCAAACTCAGTGCTTTTTTTGGTTTTTGTTTTTTTTACCATTGCCCTTGTGCTGAAGAATCTGGATACTGTTGAAATGTGATGGCTATGAGTGAGCTGCATATCTCATGAGCAGGTAAAAAGCTAATCCAAAAAAATGAATGGACCTGTCTGTAATGAATGATGAGACATTCAGTTCCTTTGAATGCCACATTAAATTCTGGGGTTCAAGAAAAACACAAGAACTGCACTATTTGGTACCTCTTTGTACAGAGTTAAGTCAGCAGATGCTTTTTTAACTCTAAACCTGAACAATTTTACTAGTCCCTTGTAGGTGGTAAGATTAGTAGCAAAATTCTGCGCACTGTCAGTGCAGTGCATGGGCTTTACACAACTCTTCTCCACTGCAGTGCACAGCACCATGCATGAACTACTAGCTTTTACCTGACTTTGTATTTGAAAAGGGCAGAAGATTTTGCTTTAGAATAAAGTCAGTCTGATTTCCCTCCCCCACCCCTGCAAGTTAGGTGAATGGTACGTGAAGCACCAGTTACATTCTGTATCAGACTACAAATGCAGCGTGTGTAGCTTCAGGTTTCAAAAGTCCAGTGCATCTGTTATAAATGTGGCAGCCTGGTATTGCTGAAAGCAAAGGAAGTACCCCTAAACCACACTGTTGCTTGTTTCTGTAATTATACATTCAAGTAACGCTAGGCAACACAACAGCAGACAGCAGAAGGATGGCCATGTGTGTGAGTCTCCAAGTGTTGGTATGGGTTTCTTATTACCCAGATGTATGGTGTTTAACATGAACATTCCTGTAGTTACTGGAATTCTATGCACTGAGGTCAGCTGGCTGTGGTTTAGGTACAATCCTCTGTTGATTACAAGCAGTGTTGCAGACTGAATATCTGAAGTGGCCCCTGATTAGAACCGAATTCCCTACCTAAAGGAAGGTGGGGGTTAAATGGATTGATCACTAGTTCTGCTTTTGTAGTGTAATGGTTAGTGGGGGTAATACTTTCTGCTTTAACCAGTTGCTTCTCTTTTATAATCTTCAAAGCAGTAAAATTTACAAGGTAAAGGGAAAGCTAGAGAGAGAAAATGCCTTCAATTGCTGTGCATGCAATTACTATTTTGGTCTGGCCTTTAAACACCACCCCCCCACACACACACACTTTAAACACTCCCACCCAAAGCCAGAGCCACTCTGCTAAACTAAAACTAGGACTGATTGGTTTTGAAAAGGGGACTGCTTTAAAGAACCCCAGATGAAGCACATGTGGCTAATGCTTTGCCCTTGTTATTAACTTATTTCCCCTACCATCCCACATCCTCTGGCCCTGTTCAGGAATAAGCCAGTCTGACAGGTAGTAAGAGTGTTGCTTGTCATGTTTTGACAGTGTGCTTAAAAATGAAATCTAACATCTCAAGCAAGTAGCCAGAATTCCTTCTGATTGTGGCCTGACAGGAGCTGCTGCCCGCTGCTAACTTTTTGACACCAAATCATATTTATTAGCACCCACAGCTTCCTAAAATGTACATGCACTGTTGTGTACATGTGCACTTGAACTGCTGGGCCTTTATTAGCAGTAAAGGCAAGAGATTTTTCCCCATTCTCCTGAACTCCAACATCCTTCTTGTACCTAACTCCTGCAGTGGAGCACTAAGAAAGCCTGCTGCTTTACAAGACCTGGACTGAACTACTTTCAACATAGCTCTGCAGCAAATTGAACACTTTATTTTGAAGAAACACACTCAATAATAACTTGATGCAAGAAACCAAGAGTTAAGGTTGCTAGACTTCCTTCTGCTATTCAGATAAAGCAAGGAAAGCAGCTTTTAGTCATGGAACACACTTCAAACCACTGCCACTTTCCTTTCTCAACCTCCCCTACCTCCTTCTCTGAGCCGTATCTTCTCTCTCCATACTTACTCTTGAACAGCCACCATTCAGCCTTATCTCATGCCCATGTATTGTTTATACTGCTTTGATCAATAGGGAGTGATGTGGCTTTCATGCAGTATATTTTATGTAGCTGTGCATTGGTGTGGTGTCAGATTGCAGCTGCAAGATGTTTTCCTGTAGCCTAGAAGTGGTATGTGGGTGATCTGTTAGTGATCATTCAAAGCTTTGGTAGCAACTGATGTTGAAATGACAGAAGGAACATGTGCATGAGTATGCATGTTGGTGTATTACATGTTATGGCCTGAGAGGCTGCATGATGGTTTTGATTTTAAGGTGAGCATGGAGGGAGGGCATTGAAAGGGGAACGTAGCACAAAGGGGTGGTGAATGATGGATGTACTTCCTTGCTTTGATTCTGTGTAGAGTTCAATGCAGCAACCTCCAGCTTTAACTTATCACGTGGGATAGCTATGACTAATGTATTCCCCATTCTTACCTTTTTTATTTCAAAAGGCTTTCCCATTCCCTAGTTTGACCAATCTCCTACATTCAGCTTTTAAAAGCATTATTTAATGCTTAAAAGTAGAATGTAGCTTTTGCACCAGCAGGCTGTTCAGCTAGCAATACCCGTTCCAGTTTATTTCACTGTGAGAGAAGCATGGCTAAAGTGGCTCTGAAAACATGACCATTACAAGAGTTCTTGGAGACCTGACTTAGCTCAGGGTGCTGGCTTGGCAAAAGGAAAGAAGTGACTGACTGCATTTCTGGGCATTAACCTTGGAGAAGGCTGGGTTGGCAAACTAATGAGCCCCTATATCTGAAGGTGACTTAATCAAAGAAATGAGGAACATAAGGCACAGCTTTGAGAGGGGCAGCTAGTTTGTTCTGCAGCGAAGTTGCACAGGGAAGTCAGTTGCCTTCTGGAGACTGAATTCAAAGGACTCCAGTCCCTATAACACGCACATATCCACCTCAGGCATGTAAGGGGGTACTGCTCACTTTGTAATTGAGAGTGTAGGAGAGAAACTGCCCCTAACTAGTTTGAGAAGCTTTTAGGCTTGATGTGGGGAGGGTGATTATTATATGTACCATCAGTTTCCGATCTCTTACTAACTTTTATTAGCTTTAACATGTCATATTGCCACCTACGATGCAAAAACATACTTACTGGTTTAGAAAACTGGGACTTTGGTCTGTGCAGACTGTAAGAGAGGAAAAAAAAAAATCAAGTTTTGTAAGTGTTCCCTCTACTTGTATAGTCTTAATCTGTACAAAAGTGTTCTTTGCAGCATGTCTGGTAACCTTGTTACCTAGCAGTGAATTGCAGCCTTCCTATCCTTAAGGCTTTATTTTGGCACTTCATATTGTGCCATTGTCCTAGTAGTGCAGTACTACTTTTCAAAACTTAGCTTGACCAGATCATTGTTTTAGGGGAGGGGGAAGAAATCACCCACACTTGCAGTCCCATACAGTTGGCTTTCAAGTCAGCCTGAGCCATATCTTGGCAAACTGAGTGTTTGGAAGCTATTACTGCATTCCAGCAACCCAAGCCGTTGGTGTCCTGTGCAATTGTGGATGTAGGATTCTGCTGTCTCCAGAATTCCAATGTAACCATTTTGTTAACTGTATTTGAAGGTGTGTCCTTATGAAGAAAGTGTTCAAAATTAAAAGAAAAAAAAAGCTGCTGCAGTGTGTGCGCTCTGCTGGTTTTTCTGCTCCGCTTCCTGCCAATCTCTGGGAAGAGGGAAATGTGGTGCCTTATAGCATGTGCTTCTGGAGCTCCCTTGCTGAAGCAGGTGTAGTTCCCCTGCCTAAATACTGCTCTGCTTACACTGACAGGCTACCTGTGAAGATTAAGCTCATACACAACTTCACTTGGGCTTGATAGGATATTCTTCCCTCCAGAAGCAGAAATCTAGCCTGCAAAGAATCTTATCAAAAGCATTTTATTCAATATCAGTCTTTACAAAATAAGTAAAACCTGGTATACAGCACTTGTTAAATAATGATAAATTGACATAGCAAGGAATATCAGGAGCCAAGACCAATCAAAACTAAAACTCTTCAGGCCTTCTGCTGTGGGTTGTGTGCTCGTTGGCCCACTAGAAATTCACATGGCTTCTGATGTCATTGATCTGTTTCACCATTTCTCTTATGTGCTCTCCCCTGCAAAAGAAGAATGCAGAAATCATGAGGGGATGGGTAGAGTAAATCTTGTTTTAGTTGCAAGCTCACAAAGGGGCATTTTTCACTCCAAGCTATTAAGCACTGGATGTGACAGTTCATAGAGTGGGCCTGCAACACAGAGAAAAGGGACTCGACTTTGGTATATACGTAAACAAGTTGGGCTGTTAATGGCACAAAAGTATGTTTAAATGAAGGCAGAGCTGTGCCTCCAAAGCAACCCTAGCTGGTCAGAGAAAATGTTTTGGGACCATCTGAAGTACCACAGATCAAATTATATCCTTCCTGCCAGTACTCAGCTAATTGTAAGGGCTCAGCTCAGCTCAGCTCTCCAGTCCATCAGCATTAATCCTTAAGTATAAATCTTCACATCTACTAATGGAGTCCAAAACACCTTGCTGTTTGGACATAGCAGAAACTCGGATCATCACTGGTGGGAATACAAGGAGACAGGCCTGAAAAGAAAACCAACTTACTCTTCTTTCAGAATAGACTGGATGCATTTGCTCTGGTAGGCACTGAGGGTGATACTAGGTTGTCGTGGACTGGTCCCCTTTTCCATCTTCCTTTGCTGGTAATCCTTTTTCATTTTCACCTAGAAATAGCACACAAAGTAATGGACTCATCAGTATTTTCTGTATGCTCAGGAGTCACCGTTTCAGATGGGTAGAGGAACTGAGCAGCAGGAGCTCAAGCACAAACTTAGGCCTGTGAGCAGCACTGACAACTGGTCTGTCATAGTTATTCATCACTGTGAGCCTCTTCCAAGTCTTGGTGCCAGCTCAGTCTCACCTGTTTGATAGCACTTCCCAGCTGCTGCAGTTGATCATGTATTGCCTGCAATTCTTTCTTCATCTCCTTCTCGCTGTCTGACAAAACTGGAAGCTGTGTGTGAAAACTACGTAGCACTTTCTTCATCCTTAACAGAGACTCACAAATATTAGTGCATAGACGTTAGTTACCTTATGTACTAGACTGGTTCATGAGGGATTCTTTTGGGATTTCAAGCATTATATTAACTGAAAGATTTCAGTCAAATTAGGGTCTAGTTCTTTCAGCCTGCTAGTCTGATGCATTATCAACATTACTGTTTTATGAAGAGGCTCCTTCTATGCCAAATCTATCCTCAACATTGCCATCATCCATTAGGTGCAGACACTAATACCATGGGCTTTGAATACCAGGCTAAAAGATTTGGCACCTGCTTGTTACTTTGACTTTGCAGCTGCTACTGAAGGGTCACACTTTGATCTGATTTGCTAAGGGAACTAGCCATTCTTTGTGCTTACCTGCTCATAATATCTTCTTGTTTTTCTTTGGCTTCTTCATACTTGTCAGCCAAGCGTTCGGCCATTTCCCGCAGACTTTTCCTTTAGGTAAGAAAGTCAATTTACTTCAGGATTATGCAAAACTTCTTGATTAAGTTTTATTTGTGGGAGGCACGAAAAGTCTGTAAGAACTGGGCTGGACTGAAACCTATGACCCTGATTGATACCTTGCTATGATAGTCCACAGAGGTTTAAGTGTATTCAGTTCCAGCTAGATGCTTGTTTGGTACCCTAGGAATCTGAATGCTTCAGAAAGGACTGTTCAAATATAAAAGCTGCTGGCTTTGACTGAAAGAACCCTGCTACATAAACAGGCTGCACTCACCTTTCCTCTCGACAGTAATTAAGATCTTCCAGTTGTTTCTTTTTCTGAGCCCACAGTAACTTCACTCTGCCAAAAAAGGGTAAAGCTGAATCAGATGTAATGCCATGACAGCCAGTTCTTCTGTAACTCAATTAAATCTCTAGAGATTTAGAGAAACAAACAGAAGCCACACTCAGGAGCTTAAAAGCAGGATCAAAAAAGATGGGACAAGGGATACGGAAGAGCTTTCTAGGGTAGATACAATAACATTTTTGTCATAGTCAAAAGGTTACTGGAAGGCTCCAAGCATGGAGGCAGATTTTATTCTGCATACCTACGGCCAAAAGGAAATGCTTTGCTATGCCAAGCAGAGACCCAGCACTAACCTAATATCCATCAGCTCCAATACATTCAGAGCCAAGCTTTATTAACTATTCTCAATCATGTTAAAATGCAGTCTGTCTCTGGATGACATCATCCTCATTTGCAGGGTTCATGAGACTGACCACCCAGTTAGGGATCTAGTGTGATAATATTTCCCCTGAATACATTACACAGGGCCAAGTTTCAAACATGTAATGCCTTATGAAGCTGTTTTACCTCTGCTGGATCTCTTCCTTTGCCAGATCCTGCTTCAGTATGTATTCTTCCCTGAAAACCTGGATGGCTCTGCTGAGGAGCTGCAGGCATTCTTCTGGGGGAGGAGCTGCATCTTTATCAGCAGATCTGAGAACAAACAAGGGCAGCTGGATTATACGCACTCCCACTGTTCAAAATCCCTAGAGAAAGTCCTCCCAGAAGAGCAGAGTGGGAGGCACTCCACATGGACTTCAATCCACTGGAGACGCCCACCTCCTCTAAACAGAGTATCCCTTCTTTTAAATAGCCTCCTCCCACTTTGTCTCATAGAAGAAACTGCATGTACTTCAAAAGCAATGGGTTGGCAGTGCTCCGCTGCAAGATGCTTTGGATGTGCTCCTCAAATGAATGCTGCGATTCTGCCAGGATGCGGAGAGGCGAGACTGTTGGTTCATTGTCCTCCCGGGTACAGAGCAGCGGAGGGGATGCTGGATGGACTGTGCTTCTGCCAGAGCAAAACACAGATAGAAATGGCGCAGAAGGAAAAGTTCTAACATGGAAATACCTGTCTCTTGGCATAAAACAGAATTATTTTGATCCACCAATATACCACCAGAACCTAATTGTCTGGCAGGAATTTTTCTCCCCATTTAAGGCAGGATATAAATTAAGCAGCTTTATCTTACCTTGTGTTGCTTTAGGGAACACTACTTAACGCCCAATACCTTGACAGTAGTCTCCTAAAAAACACCTTTTCTCTCCATGTAAGCTTAAGTCCATAAGCTTCAAGCTAAGCTTCCAACTGCAGCATCTGACAATTAAATCTATGCTGCCTTAAATTATGGTGACCATGTTATCATGCTTGGTGGCTGTAGGGTGCTTTAAGATTCTTTACCAGGCAAAAGCTACCATGAAATGTAGTTGATTTCCACCCCACGCATCATCCCTAAGCCCTTGCTAATGCCTCTCTTAGCCCTACCAAAGCAATTCAATACTACCAAAAGCACTGAGGGCATTTTAGATTTATCCTTCTTCCTCAATGCCTCTAAACCTTTATCTTACTTCTTCCTCTGGAGTAACTCATATAAGGAAAGGTGTCAGCTCAGCCTGGAATTGTTCCAGTTGCCAATGTCTCATCAAAATGGTCCAAAAAACAAGCTAAGTGAAGCTAAGAAGAGGAACACCAAGCAAGTCTGGGACACTAACAAGTCATTTAGGTAAGAAGAGTTTCTATTACATGAGTTTGAGAGAGGCAAAAAAAAGCACGAGTGCTAATCCAATTAAACAAGAAGCACATACAGAAGAGGCCTTGTGATGCACTCATAGGTGCTGGTGATGCAGATCATTGTAGGCCCCAAGATGTCAGAGACTATCCAGAATCCTCTAATTGGAGCAGGCTGCCTGGAGGGGAGAAGAGATTATAATGCAAATTCACTGAAACAGCTTTTGTCAGTACAGTAAGACTCTACCTGACTGTGGTGTTTCTCTACTTCAATCTATTTAGCAAAACACATTGGGCTCTTAAACTAGGACATTTCTTATACAAGTTAGTGCACAAAAGGCTATGCTAATTAAAAGTACTCTATACAGCTGGTATCTAGTAATCCCAGCTTTTCTTATGGAAATACGTAATTGGCCTTGCTGTGCCTACGAAGCTAGGCAGCTCATGGCAGCATGCAAAGATGCAGCTGGTATCATACAGCACAATGGTTTTGTCCAGCGAATGATACCTTGAAAGTCAGGGCACCCGAAACGTTTCTGTTGGCTGGTTGGTCTTCAACACTCTACAAGAGCTGTATGCATGTTCCTGCTATTAACAGAAAGCTGCATTCACATTGCCACCATCATGAGGGGGAGAATGTTACCACTCTTGCTATTTGGAAGATTGGGGATCACACACTACAAGAAACAATCTGATTCCAACCTAACACGCAGCCTTATGATACTACGGCCTGACAGCAAGAGCTTAATTATTTGTGCTTACCCGATTTATTTTGGTTAAGTTCATAATTTAGTTAGAGGGGAGCTGAGAGTAAATACAGAGACCATTTATTTACTTGGAGGGCAAAGGGAGAAGGAATAGTAGTGAGTTCTTACCTGCACGGCAATGGCTTTGTGCAGAGAATGTGTTCTACAAAGCACTTCTGTTCTGCTCCAAGTTCTAGTAAACTGTCTTTATCTTCTTCATCTGCAAAGAGAACACACTCAGCGGCATTCCCTCTATGAGGTCTGGCACTGCTGACCACTTACAGAGAAGAAGCTGTGAGATATACACATACCCTAGGCTAGGGGCTTTCAACCTTTTTTAAGGAGAGTACTTCTGGTGGATACCCCCTTCTGGACGCGGAGCAGAGGGGGCGGGGAAGGGGCTGTGGCCAAACGTGAAGCAGTGACGGCCATGGCAGCAGCGAAGGCACGTGGTGGCAGCAGTGCTTCCCAAGTATCCCTGCTTCTCTGCATCGCTGCTGCATACCCCTGGGGCCTTCCCAAGTACCCCCAGGGGTATGTGTGCCCCTGGTTGACAACCCGTGCCGTAGGCAATACCAGGCAGGCAGATGCTGGAGACTGTTTGCTGACAGCCAGCGACCTCCACAAAGGAAAGCCTGAAGGGCAAACACCCTCTCCTTCCTACAAGACGGTTTAACTACTCACCGGAGCCAAGGAATTTGTGAAGTTTATTGATCCAGGTTAGCCCAACGCTGTGCACCCCAGCTTCATGTGTGCAGTGGTACCTACTGGGGCATTTGGGATCTGAAAATTAAGCAGATCACATTTATTACCCACAGATCTAGAACACAAGGAAAACCCACACGTAGCACTCTATTCAAGGGGGCTCTTCAGCTACTCAGCACTAACGCTGGTAGTGCAGGAGCTACCCAGCCCCCTTCCTGCTTCCAGTCCAACCCTCTGTAGCTCAGGGTTTAGCTCCAGGAAAATTCAGACTCCCTTCCACAGTAACCCTCTGCTCTACAGAGGAAGGAAATGGCAATCCTTCTTCCCTCCCACCTATAGGAAGAGTTGGTGCAAAAATGTGCACGTCTAAGAGACCACACTGCATCCTAGAACAATGAAACATACAGCAGGCATCAATGGCTACAACATTCATGAAGACCAGTTTCTTAGTATTTCAAGGGAGTGCCTCTTTTTAAGTAGTAATAAAAAACAAGGCTGACTTCAGCTCAGAACAAATGTGAAACGTGTCCATGTTGTTACCTGAACCCTGTTAACAGGTGAGATAACTTTATGGATTTTCCACCACTTTAACGCTTTAGACACCAAGCAATAGCCCCAGAAGAGACCAATGATAAGATCAAGTTTCTTAACAAATCCAGCCACTGAAATAAAGTGAACACTATTGTTGCTGAACAACAGCCCTACCTCTGTGTAGTTTAATTGGGCAAGAGAAATCTGATTCCACAGGCTCCTCCTCTTCCCCCGACGCCAGTTTCAGTGCAAGTTCCAGCTCAACGCATTCAAACACGTACAGAGAAGGGATCAGGTCAGATCTTGGGTCCCAAGACTTTTCCGACTGTAAAAAGCATTTCAACTCTTCAGTAAGACGCCTTTTCAGCAAGTGCACCAGTGAGGGATAGAGGAGAAATGGTGACTTAGTGCAACCAAGGTCCATCAAGCATTTTAAACACAAGGTCGAACAAGCCTGATGATTCTATTGGCAACTCTGTATTGGTTTGATCACCGCAGGGCCAACATGGACATATTTCACTTTTAAACTAAAATCAAGCCATAGTTTGAAGCACAGTTGTTCCTCTCCCCACCTCATCCTTCCTCAAAATTTTTATTTTAAAGCTCTCCTTTAGAATCAGAGATAGACATCCCCAGCTGCAGAGACACTCCTAGGTAACACTGTTTAACATCTTCATCAGCAACTTGGATGAGGGTGTTGAAAGCGCGTTGTCCAAGTTTGCTGATGACACTGAGATGTGGGGCGAGATGGACACACTTGAAGGGAGAGAGAGGCTGCAACTAGATTTAGACAAACTACAAAAGTGGGCAGATGAAAACAGGATGGGGTTCAACGTAGACAAATGCAGGGTGCTGCACCTTGGGAGAATGAATCCACAGCACACACACAGGCTGGGGAGTTCCCTTCTTGAAAGCACAGAGGCAGAAAGGGATCTTGGAGTCATTATTGACTCCAAGATGAACATGAGCTGCCAATGCCAGACC